ACAACCACTTCCATGACCCTAGCAGATCTCTTAACCAGTAAAACCTGTACTTCTATTTATTTTTAAAAATAAGACTATTTTCTTGAGAATATTGTCAGGAAACCTGCCAGCCCTTGTCCTCTGATACGAATATGAATGTTTTATACACTAAGGACAGGAGAACCAATTCAACCAAAGCAAAAAAGAATAAAAAAGAAGAAAACAATGTTATGAGGGAAAGAGACAAGATAGATGAAGCCTCCTTTCCAGGAAGTGGTCAGTGCCCTCTTCTCTAAGAAGGTAAAATTTAATCTGAAATCTGTAAGAGGTTAGCTTCCTGAAAACCCAAGACACACATGGAATGGGCCTAGAAGAAGGTCTTGCAAGTTTACCAGGCTCTTCCTTTCTCATCTGGAGGGGCTGAATCCATACAATGGGTACAAATGTGATTAGGCAAAGCCTGTCTATTCTAGACAACTGGTAACAATGACTGTGTCAGGATTAAGCATACCTAACCCTCCATAAGACTAGGAGGAGGGTAAGACTCTATGCTGGCAAACAAACTTCAAAGGTGTGTTTGAAGCCATCAGCTATTTTAACACCTAGTAGGGAATCTGCCTAAGAATGAAGCCACAGTGGAGAGCAGAAGTTGAGCAGAAGGAGAGAAAGGAAGTTGAACTCATTCCATGCATGAAGTTGTCATTATCTGCTACCATTCTGAGTTTCACTAGAGTTTGTTTTGGAAGTGAGAAGTCACCCATTTAGGTGTAAACCAAATGAAGTTCGGTTTCTGCCTTTTGCAACTGAAACCACTGAGAAAGCCTACAGGGCTTTGGAAGGTATAGAAGAGTCTATGTATGTTTACAGGAACATGTGCTTAGTGAGTCTTCTCAAATTTTCACTGCAGAACTTCAGTCTTTGGGTCTCTATGGGGTGTAGATAATTGAGTGCAAAAGAGAGAGAGCTGGAGAACTATTCACATAAACCTAAAAGGGATATTAAAGAGATTTAATACCTCTCTCCTCTCTATTTCCATCATCTCATGGTAAGGCTATACGAAGGGGGAAAAAAACCTCAAAATGATACATCAGGAAATGAGGGGCAAGAGACTGGTAACAATTGAATTTGTCCAATCCTCTTAAAATCAACAGCAATGATTATCTGTTGTCTTGCCTAGCCAGAACCCTCTTCTCTCTCGGGGAGAGCACTGTTCTCTGAGTTTACATGGATCACATCTCTTTTTATTATGGTCCACCATTATAGAGTGAAGCTAGTACAGCAGGTACATGGCTCAGAACTGGCCAGTTGTTGTGGTCATCTTTGGGCCATAATGACTATAATAAGGGAGGTAGGGTCAGAACTAATTTGAGGGACTTTGCTATAGCAATTGGAAAAGAGATTGTGGCTTTCCACTGGACTCCTGGTGAAGACCCACCTGTGAAGAAGATAAAGTCAAGACAATTAAAGATGGGTAGATCAATGAAACACTGAGCTTTTGAACCTAAGGGTACATGAGGTTGCATTGGGTTTCACGGTGTGATGAGCAAATATATTCCTCTCTTCCATTCCTTTGCAGTGAAATCCCTATTTTCCATTTATTCCCAGGCAACAAATTGGAGCTCAGAAAATAGATTTTCAAAAAGATATTGAATGAAAGAAATCTCTAATCTTATCGGTACAGATTAGAAAAGATGAGCAAATATGGGGTATTTTAACTTTTAGAACAATCTTAGTAATTATAATATATTGAGCTCTATCATGGCTAATGTAGTTTTTTCAGCTTGGCCTACAAATAGTTAACAACTAAATTTTTAAGATATAACCTGGTCCATAGGATATGTTGGTATTAAAAAAGAGTATGATTGACAAGACTATGTTAATTTTGAATACTACAAAATTCTTTCTTATGCTTTACCATAAAAAAATCAGGAAAACCTACAGTAATAAAGTAGCTATCTTATAACCAAGATCACCACCTACCTTCCAACTACTGTCCATTTTTAATGGGGGTAGAAGACATACAATGCAGAGGACTTTGAGAAAACTATTCTTAGAAAAGTACATTAATATGTATAACCTGAATGGATGGTTTTATTAAAGTAAAAACATGTTATTTTAAAAATTCACAATAACTTTTAAGGCAGTAGTTTCCTTAACCAGAATTTAATCATTTCACTGCGGTTAAAAAACTACTTGCAGAATCATGAACAAATATAAACATACTTACCCTAAGATAATAGGAGAAATAAGCTTTATCAACTCCACATAATTTCTGTAAAATTTCCACAATTTCCCCAAATATGTACTTTGGAACCATTAATGGGTGTCTGTCAGTCTGCCCCCACTCCCATATAACATGGAAAACTCTGCCTACTATTCCCAGGCCCAAAGAAAACTCTCAAGGCACATTAGCATATTTTAGAATGTGAGAAGTCTTGCAGTTTGAGTGCTCAAATTTGCTTAGCCCAGCATTTCCCAAAGTTAACTTTCTCAAGATTAACTATAGCGTTTCACACCCCCACCCAACCCCACCTCCAAACCTCCATTCCTCAAAGCAACTTTTGGAACAGCTTGTGGAATTAGTTCCATGAAGCAAAGTTTGGGAAACTCTAGTTTAGTGGTTTCTATCTCCACAGATTTTGCTGTCTGAATAATATATAAGGGATTTTGAGTGACAATTGCACCCATTTGAATATATCTTCAACTGACTCCATAATTAGAAATTTAAAATGCAAATTTTTCAAAAGCAAACTGTCTTTACCATTTAGACATGTTGCTGAAATTTATTTGATTTTGTGTATACTCATATTACTTTACTAACTTATCTGGTATAGGTTAATAGGATCAAAAGACTTTGATAAATATTGAACACACATATGATTAAGCATGTCTAAACTATATGTATATACAGTGCTTCACAATTTAATATGACAAATACACTTGCAATTTGTGAGAGAGTACATGCCTTTTGGGACAATTGAGATTATAGAAGCTCCTGCATTTATAATTTGTATAAGATGTGTACTGTGTTTCCTGTTAGTTTGGGCAGATGGAGAAATGAAGCCACTGCTAACTGAGCCACAGGTGTGGCTGTAAAGAATTAAAAGATCATCAGCACTTCTCTCTATGTATAATGAAAGTCTTAACTTTACATCACTCCTTTTAGACAAGCTTTCCTCTTGCTATTTGGCTATGCATTAAATGTTGTTGGCATACACAAAACAGTAAAGGCAGGATAATTTCAAAGGTACATTCCTATTGGCTGGACTATAAAGATAAACTTCTCAGATGCTATTCTAAAGAAGCCATCAAATATAAATGCAATTGAAAAGAAAATCCTGAAAAACATATCAATATTGATAGGAACATGAACAGACATGATACAGTCAAGACACATTCTTAAGTGTATAATATTGGTACACATTGCAATATTTAATTCTCTAAGGAATATAATAGAAAATTCAGGTTAAGCAAGTCACATTTTCTGGAAATAGTATATTATTCTCATGCAAAAGCACATATTCAGAAGTACACAGGATTGATGCAGTTTAAATTTAGGTCATTTGTGCTAAAGGTCTCCCCGCCTCCACCTTTTTTGCAGTACTGGAGAATGAACACCAAGGCCTTGCACATGCTAGACAAGTGTTCTACTATATCCCCAGATCAAGATACTTTTAAAATGTAGTAAATTTTGTATATTCTCTGAACTATTCTAATGTGGGATACTAAAGAAAAAAGGTCCTCCTTTGCCTTAAAAGTAGACACCTTTGACTTACCAGTTCACACATGGTATCATTCTATGGTGTTAGGACCTGAACCCAGAGCATCATGCATGCTAGATATTAGCTACACTCCAGGCCTTATACAAATCTTAGACCTATGTCATAACATGTTTCACTGTGGTGTTCATGTCCTGCAGGCATGAAGAGGATGATTTTGACAATTCAAAGAGTATTTTGTATTTTAATAATGATTTTGATAGCAATATAAAAATAGTTGCCCATTACTGAGATTTCCTATACGCTGCCAAGGAAAAAGTCTAGTTATGAAATGTGTGGCCTTTACAAGACCACTACGTGGTAACTACTGTTGATCTCCAATGAGCAGAAGTAGACTGAGGTACAGGGATGGTAAGTAAGGGTAAGGCACAGCTGCTGACCCCTCCTGAGATGAAAAGCCCCGACTTTCAACTTACCTGCTTTTGATTTCACCTAGAAAATTCTCTTGTTCAGGGAGGAAATCTTCCTATTTTTACGCTTTTTAGACATCACACACTCATATTTCTATGGGAAATATAAATAATTCAAATAACTCTGAAAAAGAAAGGCCTCAATTATCGTATATAACAATTTAAGAGAAAAATTAAAACTGAGAAAAAGCTGACAGATCAGAAGCATTACAGAAGTTTCTTGCTCGCTTTTCTCCAGAGGTTAAGCTAGAATATTTTTTTAAAAGGGCAGAAGTTTAAGGTCTAGCTAGGGAATAAAGACATGTTTAGTCTGACACTTTCCAATTCAAATCCAACATTTATCAAATGATTCTTAAGTACTGTATTTAAAAAAAAAAAAAAAAAAAAACAGCCAGGATCTGGCAGGTTGGGTATCTTAAGCTTTCATTACTGTAAATTTGTATTTTTAAAAACCCAGTATCTTCTCTTTTTTTGTAAATACGCAAATGTTTCCCTGGCAATGTCATTTTTTTTTTCCTTATAGCTGCCTCTTATTGAAACACCTAAAAAGGCTTCTTGGTATTTGAAAGTTAAAAGTCTCCCCAAAATCAGAGGGATGGGGGCTACATAATTAGACTTCATTTAAATACAAGTCATAAAGTAATAAAAATGTTTCTAACCAAAAAAGTATCATTTTAGAGTGGCATTTAAGACAAAATAAAGTACTGCTGACATTTAAAAATTTTTCTCGCAATTTGTAATTCATTAGATGAGAAAATTGTGCACTACCATTTTTCTTTGTAAGGAAAACAACATTCAAAACTGACATTAACTAAACACAACTGGCCATCACTATGTGAAAAACCAAATGCTTTAATGAAGCTACCAAGAACAATAGTTCAATTATTTCATTGGATACATTAATATCAATCCATAATATACAGTGCTATGGACCATACAGAAATTATTGCTGCATCCAACAGCAAATGACTATTATTAACATTACAGTACCAAGCGTCCACAAGAGACAGTCATTTGTCATTTTATCAAGAAATAGGGTTTTTATACTGCTATCAACATCAACTTTTCCCCAGTGCATTTTTCAAAAATATTACTAAGTGCATTCTTTTGTGCTTTATTTTATCTTTTAATATCCTATGTACTTTATTTTCTTATTGCTTTATTGTTTAAAAACAACCAGAAAGAACTGTCATCCTTAAGATATGACCAGATTGGTCATACAGTTTTTGGCAAAGTCAGAAGGTTTGGTATGTCCATTGTCTTACCTAAAGGCAGGTGGACAATTTTGATATTTTGGTCACTCCAAATGGAGGCCCAACCCTGAGTCACAATTCTGTACCCAGGGATAGGGGGAGTGGTGTGGATCATTCTCTTGTTAAAACAGCAAGCCCCAAACACTGCTTCTTGGCTTAAATAGTCACTAAGATGAATCCACATACTGTTTGGCAATAAAGAAAGAAAGAAAACCACTCCCCAAGGTTGCAGCATTCTCCTGAGCTTCCTCACCTGCCACTCCCAGCAACTCTGTCTTGAGAAGAAGACAGGAAGGGGATTTAGTTCAGCAGTTCAAGCGCTTACTTGGTAAGGTAAGCGCAAGGTCTTGAGTTCAATCCCCGATACAAAAAAAAAAAACAGGAGACAGGGAAGCCGGTGACGGCAAGCTCTGGAGTTGCAGGAGTGAGGCAGTGGTACAAGATGCCATACACTCTCTCAATAAAGCCTCCCAGAAGGCTGCTTCTCCACAGCTGTGGTCCTTCAGCCATGGTCAGTCCACCTTTGGTCTAGTGTTAAAATCCCTCAAAATCAGCTAAGAAAAACTGGTATCAGAGCATCGCAATCTTCCACTTTCACACCCAAACCCCTCCCCCATATAAATATGAAGAGAAAACTAGACAATGCTATGATTGTATCAGTGAACACTACGGTACAATTTGCTGTTCATGCAGATTTGCATCACTATTCTAGGAAAAGAGCTATACAATTAAGAGGGTTGAAAGAATGGGAACTAATCTTCCCTACCCCCTTAAGTAATAAAGCTATAAAAGTGATAGCATCATCAGTGTTTCCGAGGATTCTCATTGCCCAATGTGCCTGGGGACGATGCAGGTTGATTATTTCCACTGAAGCCATCCATTCACACAGCTGACAATAACTCTTCTGATTCCTCCATCGCCCATCACTACTTCACATTTGACATTTAAACACTTTTTTAAAAGTGGTCAAGGGTGCAGTAAGAACCCTTCTGAATAAGGTTTCCTGATGAAAGAAGTTGGCACTCTGTCACTAAAATATATTTCATATTAAAAATATGTGAAGGAAAATTGGAAGCTCTTATATGGTCTACATAGGCACCATGCTACATGTTCCTGTCGACTAGAGATACCATCTTGAAACGTTCTCCTACATTACAGTTCAGTCAGTGCTAGTCCAAAAAAGACTACTGCTATATTTAAGGCACTTCATTCTGAATGGATATGCTTTATGCCACTCACTATTCAACTGTAGGCTGCTACTGAGAAATTCCATTCCCCAGCCTGGCTTGTAACACTATAATATCATTTGTATAAAACACTGAGGCTTGATACATATTAACACTACTGTTATTGCATAGGGCTACGCAAATAGATAATGCACTGAAACTAACTTTACAACATTGCTGCTTGTTAAAATATTGTTATCAAGTAACAGTAATTTGCCAATCCAGTATTTTTCTCTTTAAAAAAAAATTCCAGTGAGTTTGGTGAATTAAGCCCCAATTTTAATGACCGTAATGGGCATAATAATACTATGGTTATCAGTTTCCAAGAATATTGCTATTTTTTATATCCTAAAAATAAATACATAAGTTTATTCTTTCTAGAAAGCCAGTATTTAACCTATTAATACTATACCTTAAATGTGCTGAAAAACAGTTCTGAGTGAGACTGTAATATACAAAATATTTTCAAAGCTCTCTTTAAACACAAGACCTTGCAAAAAAAAAGTTTGCTTTCATGGGTGTACAAAGAATCCAGAAAACCACCAGTGAGTTGTAAAAATATTGAAACTTGAAATTTTAAGATGCATATTCTTAGAAATTAATACAAACAATGAAAAGAATGATGATAATAAAAGTCTGTACAAATCAAATGACTAAAACATAATTTAAAAATAAAAATAGCCATGCCAATTAGAAATGTGCCCAGTGTGGCTGCCTTATTGAAAGCAAAAATGGGGGGGGGGGGAGTAAAACTTCCACTGCTCCTCGTATTATACTGTGAGAGGACATTCATTTCCATTTCAAAAGAAAATACATCTTATGAAAAATTAAATCACTCTCATTAATTCATTAATGAAAAAAACTAACTTTAGAGAGTTAAAGAGAGCAAGACTAACTCTGTTTTAGAGTTTTGGTCCGACTCCTTTCAGTTTTTGTTGGTATCAATTATATCTTCTAACCAGATAATCGTTATTAAAATGACCGCTTTTTTTTGTCTTTTATAGCATATACCAGTTCTTTCAATAGTTTGCAATATAAACACTAAACAATGCTAGAAAGGTACTGTATATTAAGGCAGTACCAATGAATCAATAAATTTATAAAATGGAAAGGTTTAGTACGAAGGTTTCTTTCTTTTTGTTTTTGGTTGCTTTACATTCTTGTACTTCAACTTTACATTTAATTTCTAAGGAAGTCACAGGCATAAAAATCTCAAATCAAGTCTTCCCCTGAATAAAAATGGACAGACACTTCTCTGATGCAAAATCCACTTGCTCAGAAAGCTTGTGCCAGAGGCAAACTCAGTTCATAGATACTGCACACTTATTGTACAATACTTTGGAGGCATTTGTAGTTGTAAAATAGAATATACAAGTCTGTTTCACAAAATTCTAAAAATAAAATATATCCTGGCTATTGATAAAGCATGAAAAAAATTCATATTAAGGAAGGAAAATTATCAAGAAAACCCCTTCAGGTGACCTATGAAGTCTGCTAATCCAGACAGGAAGCAGTCCGTGTGGCTGAACGGGCGGCCTTGCTAACAAGCGTGCTCTGTCTCTTCCATGCTCATGCTGCTCCTCCGGCTGCTTGTTTTGGAGGCTCCCGGGGACACAGACGACAGGAGTGGGTCAGTCACACCAACAGGAGACAGAGTATCATCCATGAGGATGTCTTCCAGTTTGGATGCCATTTTCGTGGGGACACTGTAGGCAGGGTTGCCCTCAGCCCCCGTCCCCAGGTTGCTGTTGAAGCTGATCGTACCGTCGGTGAGATCCAGGGTGGTCGTGCAGCTCAGGTCTGGGTGGTGCTGCAGAATGTCTTGACTGCAGTTCTCAAGAACCGGTTCTTGCTTGATGATTCTATTTACCAAATCCGGAGAGCAGAGACCCGTGGATGGAATAAGGGAAAGTCCGTGAGCTCGAGCCTGCATTTCAAGCTCCTGTAACAGAAGTCAAAACCAGGCACTTAATCATGTAGAGCACTGAGGACTTTTAAAAGGTAGTGAAACTGCTCCATAGGATACTGTGTCAGTGGCTGGATGTCAGTATACATTCGTCCAAACCAACAGAATGTGCACTACTAGAGTAAATGTAAGTTAGAGATTCTTAACCTGGTGTAATGGCACAAGTCTGTAATCCCAGTACTCTGGGGGCTAAGGCTACTGTAATTGTAGCTCAGCCTGGGCAAGTTAGTGAGCCTTGTCTCAAAATAAAAAATAAAAAAAGGCCAAAGATGAATTTCAGCGCTAAGGCCCTGAGTTCAATCCCAAGGGCTGCAAATAAAAAAGAAAAGATGACAAGACAAGACAAAAGAGAGAGAGAGAAAGAAAGAAAGATCAAGGTAGGTTCATTATGTGCACTGTAGACACAGGGCACTTTCTGCAGCTTCCACTCATTGTTACTGGGAATCTTAAATCACCCCCAAATAAGGCCTATTAGGTCAGAGGTTGAGAAGGAAAACTGAATTTCCAAAGTTAAAGCTTGTTACTCTTTACAATTAATAAGCTCTGTATTTCCTAAGCTACAGGTACCACTGGTAACATATAAACATTGTGTGGTTTATGGGTTTTATTACATATTAAATGTCAGGAGATTGATTTTCATGGATATTAATATTCAAAATGAGGCTAAATTGAAAAATACACTTAAAAAATTAAAATAGGAGCTGATAAAACCTATTAGGGAAGTAGAAATATAGTTTCATGGTCCCTAAACTACACTGAGTGCCCAAAGGTGCTGCGTTAAACTCAGGTTCCTGCAGCTGTTTTGGGATTCAAGAGAAATGGTGATACCACCCCAAGCATTACCAAAATCCAGAGCATTCTCAGTTTCAGTGTCGGACTCTGCTCAATGCTTTTCAGTCACATCAAGTAGAGCTTTGGGTACTCTGTGTGGCCATCTGCATGGATGAGGAGAAACGTGGTCCTCTCTGATCAGACCCGAACCCAAGGTTTGCAGGAGTTGTGTAGGCCCCCCCCCCACACACATCTTATTAGTGAGTCCTGTGGTTAGTCAAAACTAAATAAAAATGCTATCATTCTTTTGTTTTAATGTTTTAATTTTTTCAAAGGGCAACTAAGCTGTTAAAACCTAAATATTCAGTAAGTTGTTGGAATCTTAAAGAAACAATAGGTACTTCTTTTGGTCAAGGGTGCAGTAAGAAAGTTACTGAGAGACAATAAAGGCAACTGCAAGAAAAAGTGTAAACGGTGCCAGCAGAAGGGGTGCAGCTTCCACACACCTCCCACAGTTTTAGAAATATCATTTAACCTATATCACTAGCAAAGAAAACCTATTTTTTTAATTCAACAATTAAGTTCTCCTTTATGAAATGACTGTTTTCAGGCTACACTCTCTTCACATACCTTTTTATTATGATCTATATTGCATCCCCAGTGTGTCTATATTGAAATCCTAACTCCCAGGACTTTGAAATGCGACTGTACTGGTGATGGGATCTTTAAGAGGAACTGAAGGTAAATGAGGTGGTATCAATAAACTCACCCTAAGAGAACAAAGAAGAGATGGGGACACTGACACAGAAGGGCAGACCATGTGCAGGAACAGAAACTGCCATCTGCAAGCCTAGAAGGAGCCTCAGAAGGAAACAACCCTGCTGGCACCTTAAGACTTCCAAAATTTTAAGAAAATAACTTCCCACCCTTTAAATCACCTAGCCGGTGCTCCTTGTTGCAGCAACACTAACTGATGAATAAATTCCTAAGTGTCAGTGACCTGGGAGCTCAGGGTGACACAGGAGGATCAAAAGTTTGAGCCCAGGGTCTGGGAGTTTAGCTCAGCAGCGTAAACACCTGCCTGGCAAGTGAAAGATCATGAGTTCGATCCCCGGTACCCAAAAAAAAAAGTTTGAGCCCAGCTCGAACAACTCAGTGACCCTGTCTCAGAACAGGTCTGAGGATACAGCTCAGAGGGAAGGTCCTCAGTTCAGTCTCTATTACTAGAAAACAACAACAAAACCCAAAAACCCTTGGATGGCTTTCCTTTTATACTTTCTGACTGTCCTTTGACTATTCTTCCTAAAATGAACCCAGCTGATTCCCAAGAAGTATTCTGCTTCCACATTCCTATGTCATCTATCTTTCTGATACAATAATATATAAAAATGGAATATAAATCTGCAACAATCCATGTGGCCTCATCAGGGGGGAAGTTACACTTAACCTTTGCCCATGGCCCTAGAGACACCTGTGTTTGAAAAAAAAAAAAATCACGATTCAGTTTATTTTAACATTGTTGGGTCCACTAGATTCTTTTGAAACCAAGACAAGAGATGGGAGCTGGAGATGTCACAGGAGTGTCTGCGTGTTCCTTCACACAATTCCCAGAAACACAAGTCTCTCCAGGCAAGGCTTCAAACCCTTGGGCTATTTAATAAAATGGCAGTTCCACCGATAATAAGGCTTCATGCTCTGCCTTCTGTGAAAATTTCTGCATGCATCACTTGGATTGAAAATGAAAGGAAGCCCGCAGGCCCACGCTACAAACATGGGCTCTTGTAAACCCACACCAACATGCTAATAAGAGCAACACCTCCGGACACGTAGTTTGTTTTTTCAATAAATAAATACACAATAAGTAAGTAAAGTTGGGTTGAGAGAAGCAAAATTCCACTCTATTCCTTTGTTGTTTAATTAAAAATGCTTATTAATGACTAAAGTAATTATTTAGATTTCCAAATAAGGTAGTAAACCTCATCTGGCACACTCTGGTTTCAAAACTACATGCCAGATATTTTCTAATTCATGCTATCTTCTACTCTATACTAAAGTTCTAATGATTGGCCCATAGTCACTGGAGGAAAAACCAGGATATTGCCATCCATAGAATTTCTAATGCATATATTTCATAATATTCATATCTCATAAATATACATGTTCTTGGGACCTTGAAATGAAACAAACTTAGCTTCTCTTTCAAAACAGTTGATGCATTTTAGTATTTTTATAAAGGAATGACATAAACCTTAAAATATGATTAGCTTTTATAAATGGGTATACGACTGCCCAGGCTTGGTGACATATTCCTGTAATTGCAGCCTGGGTTACATATTTCCAGGGAAGCATGAACTACATAAGGAGATTCTGTTTCAGGCACCCTCCCCAGAAGAGACAGAAACAGCGACAGAGACAAAGAGACAGAGAAAATGAGAACAAAGTATAATACTAGAAATTAAATATCTACAGTTACTTACTAGAGAGATGGAACAAACATACAACAACAAAATCAACAGAAATCAAAGAAAGCGGTAATGGGGAGGGAAGGGAAGATTTCCAAATTATACACACTTCTACTTCACTACCCAGATTCTACAGCCAACCCTAGAGAAGGGCTGCCTTTAGTCACTCCCTCCAAGACCGAAGATCGCTGGAGTGAATGTCACATGTGACACCTTGAAACGTGAACTGCTGGTGAGTAGTCAGAAGGAAGGAGAACTTTACTAGAGGTGAAGTCCTCTGTGAGTTCAATGTTAGGGATGAGCACCTCCAGGTGAAACGTGATGGACTCTAAAATGTCACACTTTGCATAACTTCCAAAAAATAACTTTACAAATAGCTGTCTTGGGAACGTGAAAAGTAAACCTTACTCCACAGCAAAATCTAGTAAAGGATGCCCATCTACTCAGTGAGAAGAGCCAGTGTTGATGACTGTCACAGGCAGTTTGTGTTGCAGGTCAGCAAGGATGTGAAAACATCCTATGAAACTTGGGTGACTGAGGATGAAAGATCACAAGTTGGGCCCAGCCTGGCCAATTTAGCAACTTAGACCCTGTCTCTACATAGTGTTTTTTTAAGATCAAGATATAGTTCAGTGCAAAGGCTCTGGGTTGAGTCCCACATACCACAAACAATTATAACAACAACAATGGCAACATTGTTGCAAGCCACTTTGATCAATGACACAGAGTTGAATCTTGAGGACAGCTTCAGAACAGATTTTGTCTTCAAATGCAGCCTAAAAGACAAGTGCCAGAGGAACCCTAGGAAAGAAGGATCCTTCTCTACTTCTTGACCCCACTGATAGTATGTTCCTTGGACACAAATAGTGGTGTACAGGTAGCCCATTTAATATTTTCCCCCTAAGAGGATAAAGTTTGATTTATACGTGGCATAATTTCAGTACATTCAACTAATTTCCTATATTATTTTCTACAGTGTCCTCTATAAACTTCAGTTTGATTCCTTACATCCAACTAAGGCATCTTTTTAATTTAAAATGTACAGTCAATGCTCAATATTTATAGTACCTATAGTCTCTAAAGTGACTAAAAACATTGAATTAGTGACTATAGAATTACTCTCCTAGGGGGAAGACAGGGTTAGAATCCTCCTTGGACAACATTTTCATCAACTGATCAATACACAATCTTGATTCAAGTATGTTTCTGTGTAAGGAATCTTATATTGAATACATACTGTTGATCCATTCATACTGAACTCAGGGCTAGCAGTACTATAAGACATGCCTGAAGAAAGTATACAGAGCACCTGCCTTGTCTCTGAAGGTGCATGACAGCTTTCTTGTGATTACCAGACAGCACTTTAACATTGCATTTAGGGCCTTTTGACACAGCAAAGTCACCAACACAAAGCCCACAGATGTGAAGAACATGACATTTAGCAACCAAACCATAATGGCATGAGAGCTGAAACCAGAAGGCTGGTCACTGACCTCAAGCTGAGTTGTTAAGACTTCCACTTGGAGCCAGCACCATGGTCAACTCAGATTCACCACTTTGCACACAATCCAAAAACGACTGGGGAAAGTGCCACCAGTTTTAATTGGGGCGGGGGGGGGCACCCATACATTTCTAACTAGGCAAATTCACAAATACAGAATCTATCAAGAGTACAGATCACCAGTAATAGGATCGTGTAAGTCAACTCCCTGATGGCTCATTAGATCCTTCTTGTCCCATCTTAAAGCCAGCAATATGCTTGCAGAGCGCACTACACAGAGGGTACCTGTATTCTGAGCAGCAGGTGCCGGTTGGCATGCTCCAGTTTCTTCTGTCGGTTTTCAAGTTCTTTTGCACGTTGCTGTTCCCGTTGCAACTTTCGGATATAGTCTACGGATGCCTTTAAAATGGTTCCTTTATTCCAGCGCATGTCACTGATGCAAAAGGAATAAAACAGACCTCAGTAAGATTTGAGGCTCAATGAAAATTCAGTATTCGAAGCATTTAATTTCATCAGATGTAACAATAACTGCACAGCAATAATCTCTACAATTGTACTAGTGCCATGGGCTGGACATTTTTTATCCATTCTATACACCTGGTCTTACTTAATCCAGGAAAGAACTTTGTTAAGGTAGGAACATGGTGCAAATGTTCAAACAGAGACAGTTCAACTTGTCCTAGGTCACACAGCTATCATAAGGTGGAGACAGGACTTAATTACAAGAGCAATATTCTTAAATATTATAGTAAGTAATTCCAGGTTTCTAGGACTACAAAAGTTTACCCATCTGGACAGAATAAGCAATGGTAAAAAGAGATCCCACTAATTTATTGTGGCATGTTTAGATTTTTATCACAAATCAGCGTAAACAGGTTCTTTAACTCTCTGTATCTGTTGCCTCATCTACCTGATGATGCTACACTTACATTAGCAGCTGTTACTGCAATCAAAAGGCATACTTTATATGAATATATTCTGAGAAGTCCAGAACACAGTGCAAATACAGAGCAGGTGTTGTGTTAAGTGATCAACAAGATGTTCATAGTGGGGATCTTTTTATAGCACATTAGTATACTATGTGCCAGGCACTTTTTGAAGAATTTTATAATTCATTCACTCTTGACCTCAATGAGTAGGTACTAACATGATCCAATTTTAATGAATGGAAACTAACATACACAGAGGTTAAGAGTTTCTCCAAAGTCACAGAGCTAGGAGGTGACAGATCTAGGAAGCCTAGAGAACCTGGGTCCAGGCTTTCCTCTTATAAGTCACGACACAATTCTTTTCACTGAGTCCTCAAAGCAACTAGACTCCTTGGGAATATTCTCAGGCCCCCTTTTCAACAGACAAGAAAAATTAGGTCCAGAACACAAGTACCTTCTCCAAAGTCAACCACTAGCAAGAGACTGTTTTGGAATTCCAGCCTAGGCAGCCAGAACTTGGTGTCTCTTGGTCCTTATGCAGTATTCCTCCAATGTATTGTGTATAAGAAAATCAGAACCACCATTAACATGTAGGCAAAAGCACTTTGAAGGTCTTAGAGCACTCCAGAAAAACAATAATGAACAATCTATGTTTATGTCAAAATACATCTGTGTTGCTTGAAATTATTCTGAACTCTTCTATAGACAATTTTCAACATAATGATGACAATCACAATGGAAGATAAAAACAAACAAAAAACTCTGATGATGGGAAAACTATCTACTTTATCATCTGTAAACTGCTTAGGAGCAGATCAGAAATACCAGGTGCCATGTGTGAATGGTGGGCCGTTAAAACAAGTCGCCTGGTAATTGGTCCTCTTCTGGGTTAAAACAAATGAAAAACAAAACAGTTCTCCCAGAAGAGGGACAGGTAGGGGCCCCAAAGAATTCCCTGGCATTGATCCTGAGAGTCTCAGCGCCAGAGATGGCAAGCTAAAGAGATGTCCTGACATGTTCAGAGAGAGCGTAGGGACCTCATGTTCAGGGCCAAAACCAAAGGAATAGAAACTTTAGCAATCAGACAGAAATGTAATTATAATGACTGATACTTGACCTAGGCCAGCAAGGTGAGAAATAAGAACTGAAACCTTCAAGCAAAGCAGTCACTCAGATTTTAAGTAACTTTTCAACCAGTTATCTTGAAGTTTACCACCTTGTGAGACTTAATCAATTATGTTTCTGGGTTAAAATGGAAGGCTTTCAATTTTTTCTTTCTTCCTTTTTTTTTGGGGTACTAGGGATCAAACTCATGCCTTTCTATTTGCCAGGCAGGTGCTTATGACACTGAGCTAAATCACCAGCCCATCAAATTTCTTTTTTAATAATGAGAGGAGACTTTTTTTCATACAGAGGCATACACAAAACTCCAATGCAAAAAAGAAAATCAACAAAAGCAGACTTGCTCTGCTGGAAGAAAGGGTACCAAGCTGAGACACTCATCAGTTAGAATGTGTCTCTACAGCAGCCCCAGAGGACATTCTGGAAAACCACCATACAGATTATAGTCTGTTTTACCTTAAAACAATGCCTACAATGAAAGAGCATTATCAGTTCAGATTATAAACACCTAAGTATTCTAATATAATGCAGCAAGAAGATATGCAAATCCAGGCTTTCACTGCAGCCCCACAATTCCATAATATGTTACTAAAGAGATTCTCACATGCTACAGTTTAAAAGAATATGCTAAAAAGTGAAAGCTGATAAAGAACAGGAAAATGGGAATTCAATTTCAACTATCATGCAAGATTGACTATAGGAAATGAAGGTCACAGCCCTTTAGTAGGATAAATTTGTGCTGCAGAACTGAGAATTTGAATGTTTCCAGTTTGCAAAATGCATTTCTTTGAAACCTAGAAAAACCAGGTGTTGAAGATGGAAATTGTGCTTGCACATTCATCAAAACCACCTCACAATAAGTAGTAGTTTTATTTTATTTTGCTACAAATTCCCTGACAATAATGTGAATAGCAAATTTAATAAGCCTTGCATGAATAATGCTTGATTGCATCTTTACATTTTATTAGATGGCTAAAAGGTCATATTCAAAGGCTAATTTCATAGAATGCCTGTGGGGGTCATTAAAATGTATATATTCCCTCACCCCCACTTCAAATGGACCAATTCCTAATGGATAAAGATTGTGTATTTGTTGTCCTATTTGATGACACTGCAGGTAACTATGAAGCAGTAAGAGAAAATTATCTTTATAGCTGCTATCTCTAAGAGGTGGGATAGAGGGAAACCAAAGGCTGAAGCCCAAATTAGCTGACTTGTACTTAACAAGAAGATTAATAATTACCCTTATTTCCTAGATTGGGAAAACAAAGAATGTGCAAGTTTTCATAAAAAAATTGACCTTTTGTCTGTTGAATATCAGTGAACTTGAAGTTTCCAAATTGTTCATCAGTGCCTAGAGATATTGTTACAAAGAGTACACAGTCCACAAATCTAAATCTTGTACTGTGTGAATGCTAAAGAATTTTTTAATAGGAATTTGTTTGCCAAAGAATCTCTGATTTCAGATAGCCCTTCCTCACACTCAAAACTAACCATTTAATGTCCAGCAATCCTTTTGGACAATTCAGTGCATTTCTCTTGAAATTTTAGTTGGATGAAATTAAGCAAAAGGAAGGTTTAAGAAATAGTTAGAAAGAGAGAACCAAAGAGAGAAAAGGGATTTCTTAACTTCAGTCTTTATAACTCCATTTTTTGTAACATATGAGAAAACATGAAGGTACAAAAAATAGATGATACAGATTAACATGCAATTGTACTCACGGATCATTTGACTTGGGAATCAAAGTACCTAGTTCTTTAATGCGGTCATTTATGTTAAATCTTCTTCTTCGTTCAACTTTGAGAAAAGAGCACAGGAAAGGGCCATTAGTAACAGCACCACACGTGCATTTAGCATATCTCATTAAAGGCATGTGCATGTGAACTTCACCAGGTCAGGGCAATGTGAATCTGACCAATTTTTCCCCAGTTCTTACTGTGTATTTCGTATTGAGGTTAAAGCATTTTTTAAAATGAGCTACTTTTGCAGAGAACTTTGCCATTTACAAAGTCCTTAGATACACAAGTTTTCATCTGATACAGTAATGACTCTGAAATCAGATTTCCTGTCCTCAGTTATAAATGACAAAATTGCCTTGGAGATATCAAGAACTTGCTGAGGACAGCCAGCAAAGTGGTGAGCAGCTGGGACTCAAGTCTAAACATTCTTCCAAAGGCAGGTAGTGAACTCTTTTGCTTTGTAGGCCAAGCACCAACACAGACGGTATTATTATGTAGATACTTACAAATTAGACAAAACACAAACGTCCAATATATTTTTTGACAAAATTCAAAATATATGAATTATGTTTTACAATGCAAACCAAAAGTAATGAAAAGTATCACAATTTACTTATGATGCTGAAATTTGAATATTATATGATTTTCACATCACAAATATCACTCTTGGTTTCTAGCCTCCATTGCTACCTAAGAAACAGAAACATCATCTCTTGCTTGGATTGCTATCATCCTCACTCGTATCTCTGCTTTACCCAAGCCCAGAGCTGCCTGTCTCTTTGGGGTCTCAAGAATACGGCAGCTAGTGAGATCCTGTTAAAAGGAAAGTCAGGGCACGTGGATCCTTACTCAAAACCCTCCAATCAGTTCTCATTTCATCTAGACAAAGCCAAGTCCTCAAGGATCACGCAGGCTCCCAGCCCTCTCTGAGTGACTGTATTTCCTATTGCAATTCATCTTAGAAACACTCTTCCTTTAGATGTCTGAACCACTCTGCCCTTCCCACCTCAGGCAATAACTCAAATTTACCTATGAGAACCCTCAGGTCATCCTATTTAAAACTGACTCACCCCCAACCCCAGTCCATCCTGCCACTGTGTCCCCTGGGCTGTCCTTTGTCTCTTCAAATAAATTTCAACTACTTAATTCACATGTTTCATACATTTCACACAATAAGCTTATTTTCTGCTGCATTCTAGGCAACTGTATATGGTTGCCACAAGTAAGTGTTAAAGAATGCTACATTTAAAGTGGAATTCTATTACAGATGATCCTGCATCTATGTTTTCACAACAGGACATTACTGACATCTTTCACCATCAACATCTACCTGTACCACATTGTATTATTACTGCAGGGACATCCTTCTCCAATTATTCATTATGAAAGTCGTATAAGCTTATAAATTATTTCAAAAACTACCAACATATATAAAGGAAAAAGTAACAGTCAACTCTTTTACACTATCCAACATCTATGTGTTTGGAAAAACTGTCACTTATAAGTGTGCTCTCACCCACACACTTACACATCCACATAACACATGCACAAAGCATATCCCTCTATAGGTGGCCCTTGTGTACAACGGGATGATACAGCTACTATTCTGCCTCTCACTGAGTAATATACAGTTGATTCCTAGCTCAAACATAAGCTCCAAAGAATAGGAAACCCATAAGTATGACTCACTTCTGCAGAATATACCTTGTACAAACACAGTAATGTATTCATATGCACATTTCAGCAAGTATTGTTACAGGACAAAATCTTAAAAGAGAGAGGGAGAGCTAGGCCAAGGGGCAATCCAACTCTGAATATTAATTTCCAATGGCTAGAAGAGACTTAAAGATCATTTTATAATCCTCAGTTTGTGCTGGTAATTTTTGTCATATAATGATAACCCTGAACTGCAGAGCTTAGGTTTCCATAGTAAATACTGCCTTTGACAAGATCCAACTTTGCTTTTTACATCTCAGTTAAGTGAAGATTTGGATAATGCTTTATTTTCTTATTATTGAGGTGTTTCAAAAGAAAAAGTAAGAATAAAATTATTGAGAAGCAGGAGGAACCTTGAAGATTAGTCCATCTTAATGAAAACGTGGAGACTGTAACACTAGTAAATGTGAACACTAATGTCCTCTGTAGCTGGCAAGTCCATTTTTCAAGAGCTGTCCTAGAGAAACAATCCTCCTGGCATAAAATGGCAGGTATGAGATGTTTGCTGTGACAGTGTTTATCACTGAAAAAAGTACAAACAGCATAAATACAGAGCAGTGGAGAAATTACAAAATACTAAAAATAGTCACAATATACAGTACTATACAATACCTTTTTAAAGTGTATCTGGGTTCTAACAGTAAGAGATCTTTAGAACCGATTGTTCAGTTAAAAAAAAAAAGCAGCAATAGTATCTGAACAAGACGATGTGTTCTGTATGAATACACACGAAACTTTTTTTCTTAATTTTCACATGTGCACAGCTATGGGTCTGTATTCTTAAATACACAGAAAACATCTCACACATCAAATTGAAACAAACAGTGCTTATGCCTGGGGATTAAAGAAGAACCTGGTCCTATGCCTTTTTTTTTTATAAAGAGCAAATGTTTGATAGGACTCTGTTATATTTTAATAATAAATTTAGGAATAAAAAACATGAGATTATGAGATGAGAAATTTACAAAATTATTTCTGTCTTCTGAATTTCATCCTTATTTTTACCGTGCAGTCTCTCTTGCATGTATGGATGTACATAAAATATAAATTTAAGTTTTCATAGCACAGAATGAATGATTTAATTAAGAGTAAATTACACATATAGATATTTAAAATGTTACAGAACTTTTAAAAATGATAGATAACATTAGAAATTTGAGGTCTACCTAACCCATTTTCTCCCTTTCAGAGCTGATTCGCTTTTTTTTTTCTTTTAAATCTCACTGGAAATTATGATCTCAAAATCCCCTTTTGCTAAGAATTTCCAGTGTGAGCAACACTCATGATTGGGTAGTTAGAGATCAAGTCCCCCTCTCAAGAAGAAACAAAACACTTCACTACTAAAAATAAAATAAAAAAGAAGAAATTTCAGAAATTGTAAATAACTTTACACATAAAAATCACTTTGATTTGAACTAAAATACGTATCTTAGTTTCTCTGACATATAACTTTCTTCCAAATAATATCTAACAATTATGGAATTCAAATTTCCTGAATTCCCCAATATTTCTGAAACACTTTTTGCTATATGAAGGAACATCAATTTCAGCATCACATGTCATAAACATAAATAAAACCAACTCACTCAAGTTGTGATTGTCCTTTTTTTGTCTCTCCTTAGCCAGGGCTCTCGCTTCTGACTCTGTGGGAAAAATACACGCTGTGCACGTGAATGAAGTAATTAGAAATTAGAACTGTAAAATCGATCCAGCAATGTAAACTATAAAGCATCTCATTTTATAAACATATGGAAGCTTCTGACGGGACTCTAGGTAAAACTATGCTTTTTAAAACTATTGTATCTTTTTTAAAACGTGCACTTTTTCAGAAACAACAAATGTCAAATGGACACAATAATTTTGTTCCCACAAACTGGTAAAAGACCAGTGCAACAATAATCCACTGTGTACTGTAAACACATTCCAGTGTTAATAATAGTAATATAAATTACTAAAAAACTAAGAAATTTGTGGTTGATACTTTATTACCAAGAGTCAAATTCTTTCTCAGCCAAATGATTTTTCAGTTTTTTGTGATACCTTTGTAAAACACTGACATCAAAACTGAGTAGACAAGCTCCTGCATAAATCTCCATGGTCTCTAATTGCTTCCTGGAAATGAACCCATTTTTTCAGAACTAGAATCTGCTAGAACACAATCATTTAATGACTCTTAGGAAAAACTATTCACTAGTTTGTTGAGTCACGAAAATATAAATAGGAATAGGGTACAGAGGCATTTCCTGGCAATTCCACATGGTAAATTCTATTTTCATAGTAATTTTTATGAGATCTGTCCTAAGTGATTACTTTTTACTTTACAATAAACAAAGCACAAAACAACAAAATATCTTGTTTTATCAATACTGGTATTCAGAAAACCCATCCTCCCACCTACCCGCCTTGCCCCCCTCCCCCGATGGTTCTGGGGATTGAACCTAGGACCTTTGCACTGAGCTATATTCCTAGTCACTAAATTGCCCAGGCTGGGGTCACACTTGCAATTCTCCTGCCTCAGTCTCCTGGGGTGCTGGGATTACAAGTATGCCAGGATTACTTCTTTAGAAGTTCTATCTGAACTCTTACACTACCATAATTTACAACTTTATCTCAATATAGAAATACTTTAGCATGATTTATAGTTACCGACACACATATATATTTAGTATATTAGCATTATTGTATAGGTATGTATACACTGTCAGTCATGTAGCACATTGTGACATTTCAATCAGCAGGCTGCAGCTAGGATGGTAGTGTCGTGAGAGTGTGTCACTGCAGTCATCTTAAGTGTAAGTACGTCTACGATATTCACATAACAACAAGATAATCTGAAAACGCCTTCTCAGAATATGACTGTACTACATACACATATATATGTAGGTAGGTGAAACACAGAAGTGGAATTGAATTGTGAAAGGCAATCCAAATTATTTCTGTTCTATTTTCTTTTTTCTTCACATAGGATACAGGACACTTAATTCCGCATGAATTCAGTGATTCTTAGCATATTTGTTCTTGTCTTATACTTTTCCTCTGTGACAGGCTTTCTATTTAATTAACTTTCTTCTTAATTAACTCAAATTAATGACTTTTTAAAAATGTCTTTTTTCTATCACCATTTTCTGAAACTGATTTTTGGAAACCCAGCTTTGAACAGGATGGAAACGATTTGCAGCAAGCCTGTATCCCACGTTCTCAGTCTATCTTCCCCCAATCTTGCAGGATGCAAGCCCAAATAACAAAGGGAGAAGGACGATAAAATTTATGACGGTGGAAGTTCAGTCCCCGTACAATTTCTGTCATGTTTTAGTGGCCAAAAGCCTTCCCTGAAGCATTAAGCAAACTGGAAAAGTAGGTAAATTCATTCTTTCCACAAGAATGAATAATTCTAAATTGGCCATTATGCTGCCTGCCTGTAATCCCAGCCCTCTGGGAGACTGAGGCAAGGGGCATGCAAATTCAAGCCCAGCCTGGACAACTAACAACCTAGGGAGGCCCAGTCTCAAAATACAAAATGGGCTGGGGATACAGCTCCGTGCAAAGGCTCTGGGTTCGATCCCTAGCACTGTGGGGAGGTGAGTGGGGCACCAAACTATTCGGACTTCTCTGTTTTATAATTTTTTGGGGAAGGGGACATAAAAGCCATGTGAAGATGTAAGAAATGTATTTAACCTCTCTTTACTGTAGGCGTAAGCATAGGTCAAAGGAAAATTCAACCCAGTGCCCTTAAATACGCAGTGAGTCTCTGGCTGGGCAAGTCATGGGAACATCAGTCAGCAAAGACATTCACAGATGAAAGTGTGCCCTGCTACCCCCATCTCAAAGGGGATACCAGTCACAGACACAGTGACCAGGAACATGTTGCAATGTGGCCCTAATTCCCAGCATCTCAGGAAACCAAGATTTTCAAGTATAAATCTTCCATCTTAAAATACTGTACAATGTTTTAGTGACTGCAGATACCTAAGAAAGTGTGTCCTCGAGTCAGATCTAGGAGACGTTACTATACAGGTAACTCTGCCTCACGAGGAAGGGAATAGGAAACCGGCGGGCACATCTACTAGGCATTTACCTGTGAGCTCCCTTTTAATGTTGGGCAGGTTGGCAGGGCATGAGTTGCTGATGGTGAGGCCCGGGGGCGGCAGGCCTTGGTTGCTGTAAAGGTCAATCAAGTTTCCGGAGACAGGTAACTAGAGAGTGAGAAAGGAACAGAGCAGAAATGAACCACTGGATACTTCCCAAGTTTTCCAGATAAAATCCATGTCCTATTCTAGGTTTTGTTTAAGGGAAATGATTACCCATAAAGAGTTAGTTTTTCAAAAAATGGGAAAATATGAGCTACTTGCTGAGACTTACATGGCCTTCTTAGCAAAGGCCAGAGATTCACACCCACAAAACCCATTACCCAGCTTACAGTTTTATTCTGAACAGGGACGCCGTGGAGAATGTGGCAAAGGCCTCACCTGACACAACTAGTGGTGGCAGACAGCAACTGTTCAGTAACTGGTAGCTGTTATTGTGAAGTCCTGCTTTTGCAGGGTAACCCTTTTCACTTGAAGAACATCAGTTTTATCCCTTCTCTACATTTCTTCTCTCTTTTTGCCTCTTTTATAAGGAAAAACAACAAGAAATGTTTTCTTTGGGGGAAACTAATGATTTCCTTATTGCTAAAGAAGAGGTTGGTTTCCGTCAAACTGAAATTTTTCACAAGGCCACAAGAGGGAGCCACAGACTTTACTAAAAGAAGAAAGTCCCATTTCAAATAAATAAAGGAAGAACTATTTAGCCTTCTTAACCCAGTTTAACAGGATTTCCTCCCCTGTGGTTCTGAACTGTTTTAAAGTCATGAATTCATCTCTTCTCGACAATGACTTCCTTTACTTGACACTCATTTTCATCAGACCTTAAATTTTCTCTCCTCTCAGGTCCTGAAATAAAATTCTGACTATTAACGCTGAAGAAAAAGTTAAGAGACGTTGGTACTTCCACTGCAAACACCATTTCCAGGTGAACTCAAATAATCCCTGTAACTACAATACCTAGATAATAATTTGTCATCTACCCTTGCCCCCCTTGATCATGCTCTCTAAATTTTACTTCATGTGAGAAAAATAAATTCAGAAAGCATTTCAATGTGATTAAAACACATATCTACCAACGACTGCCTACAGCTGAATACCCATCATGTGATGTGCTTGGGGGTAGTGATGGGGACTAGAAGTGTTTTGACTTTTGTCGGGTTTTTTTGTTTGTTTGTTTGTTTTTCAATTTTGGAATAACAGCATATACAGAATGAAGTATCTTGGCAACAACATCCAAGTCCAAATATGAAATTCACTGTTTTCTACGCACCTCCTGAAGATAATTTTACCTATTTTTAGTGCACCTGCCTTTGAGTGGGACAGGAGGTCAAGTGTGGAATTCTCCACTTCTAAAGAAACACTCCCTGAACTAAACTCCCAGCTAAAGAGACGGGGCAGGCCAGTGTCCACAGTAAAATACTGTGGAAAGGTTAATTTGACACTGCCTCTAACAGGATTTGGATGGGCAAGAAAGACAATCAGATGCATAGGACCTGACACACGGTTTTGCTTTTAGCCGAAGGCAGCACATGCCTTAAACACACACTGCACCACCTTAAAATGTCCTTGGACCACACTTCAATGCCTTCCAGCTAAGCAACTGATAAAAGTGACTTGATTATTAGCTGTCATTTCATCAAGTGGTTCTATTTGAAACAGGTCACCTTCTCAAGGTCAACCTGCTCTCTGTGTGTTTGGTTTTTTTTTTCCTCATCCAACTTAACACAAAATGCGAGGTGTTTACCTGTTTCAACACAGCACTATAAAATGCCAGAAAGACTAAAGTTATAAAGTGTAAGCTGCTCTATGACTTCTCATAAATCCAAAGCTTTAATCTCTTATCTTTCTGGAGTTTTAGATCTCAGCAAAACTTGTCGAGTGTTAATGAATCAAGAGCGTAACTTGAAAATTGAAGCAACAGCTTAAAAAGTTGTTTCAATCGCTCTAGATATGCAAATCATAAAAAGCAAAAAAAAAAAAAAAAGAAATGCAAATCATATATGATCTCATATGTAAATCCAATGCAAAACATGCAGTTAGGTTATTATGATGATCTGTTAGGGTTAAGTAACAGGCAAGTAACAAGAATAGCTAGCTTTAAAAATAGCCTCTAAGTCATCAATGAATACACCCTGAACCAATACCTAATTTCAAACTCCTTCAGGATAAGATGCATTTTCAAGCCATACTCTACAGGAAGATAATATATAAATATATAAATATATATATATATATATATATATATATATATATAGTCAATAAATTCACAATACATATTTAAGAAAGGATTCTGGGCTCAATTTTGAGTCTCAGCATAAAGAAAAGAAAACAAAAAGGGAAAAAGATTCTGTGGTATCAAAACAACATCTCTGGAACTAAAAAACAGAGGAAGAGATACTTTTGTAAAAATGACTGTTCTGCATCTTTTCTGGTTTATACCTAGAACATTAACCTGATGGACAAGATTTCACTTCCACATTGCCAGCTGTGTGTGGACAAATGAAAGCTAACCAGGACAGACAGAAGAGAGCTCTGCCTGGGTTTAGGCCTGGTGTGGTGATCTGAATTGAGTTCTTCAATGTTCTGCTCCACCAAAATGAATATTTTTCCAAGTAAATGATAATTTTAAACTGTTATTATTTTTTTCCTCTCTGGATAGCCCTTCTCTGAATATCAATTGTGCACTGTTAACACAAGTAAACTGGGACTTTTATTCTTTGTTTTTGATGGTACAAGAGGGCCCTTGTGTTCTCAGAATAGTTATTTCTAGACTTTGATTCCCTTAGGATAGTTTCCTCTCTCAGTGTTCCTGCTACTTTTTTTAAGTAGTTAACTTGAAGTAAAGCATTTCAAAGCATCAAATAAAAGGGAGAAATGCCTACCATGAAGAACATTCCATTTAAATCTTACTGTGAGAAAAAATTAAAATGTGAATAGGTTTAGTAGCTGGATTATTTAATTTTAACAACTCAAACATCATTTTGTCAGGAATAAGAGCCGGAAACTAATTTGAAGCAAGAGCCTACTCCACTGGAACTGTTCTAAATGCTTTTTGTGGATTAATTCTTGTAACTTCTGCATTAATTCTATTGTGGCAGATGTGATCCTTATCCCCACTTTACACAAAAGGATACAGAATCAAAGAGGTAAATAACTCTCCCAAGCTCCAGTTCAGGGTCTTTGCTTCTACCTCTGTCACACTTTTTCCTCTAGAGGCAAAATGATGCAAGCTTTATCCTAAGAAGACTACAAGAAGGCAACATTCAACTTTTTGTCCCATGGGAAAGCAGGACAGAAGATGCTGGCATAGTGATGTCTAGCATGGCTAATCTGGGAATGAACGCAACTCTGCCCAGGGAATGTCTTCTATCAGGGAGTCCCAGAGACAGCCTCTCTGTTCCTCGATGATCCTTTCCCACTTAAGGCCTAGGTGGTCCCCTCTTGCAGATGGTAAGCCCCAGAATCACAAGAAGCCCAGATTACTTCTGCATCTACAGTACCTCATGCAATAGGAATTTAATGCATGCTAACTTCATCTTTAAAAAAGAGCTCAGGAGGAACCATAAGAAGGAACCACACCTTACTGCTCAAGCATCCTGACTTAGGAGACACAGGTATCTTTCTAAAGGACAGAAGTCCATGGGCTGTGACAACTGTCTTCATAAGTGCTGATGTGTATAAAAGTTCGTAATAAACTGGGACCCATGAGAGACACCTTCCCATATGTATTATGTGCTATGACATAAAGTAGTTAAAATAAAGAACTCCATTTTACAGATGAGGAAATACAGAACTTAAAGAAGCTCAATAACATTCAAGGTCATAGAATAAATGGCATGTTTTAGATTTCAACTAGTTCTGGTTGCAATTCATCAACTGCTAACTGCTGTGTTTTACTGCTTCCCTAGTGAGTTAGTGCAAGTCCTTACTGGGGCTCCAAGGAAGTCTAATGCCTGCTTTTTCTGTGGGGAATCTGAAGACTATGCACAAGTAGATTATTGTATTTGATATTAAATTGAATTAGATGACTCCAAATGTCCTTATACTTCAAACTGAATTAGCAAAAATTAAGGCTTTTATGAAATCATGTCAACTCAATAATCTCTTGAGTATGCCCAAGTACCCATTTGATACCACTGACAAAACTACTACACTCATATCAAAGTTCTTTTGAGGTGACAGAACCATCGCTCATTCATGCCGGCTGGGAAGCAAAATATGGTAAACTGAAACTCTAGTGCATGCTCCCCCATCTATTTTTCTCATGTTCAACGTAAGGTTCAGGCTGCTGATAGGGTACTGTCTGCATCTCGTGGGATGCATCAAAGAGTTCCACAGAAGCCAACCAAAGTCGCAAAGATGGGCTGGGAAAGGAACCACAAGGAAATTTATCAGAATGGCACCTCATTTGCTTCTCTCAAAATCAGGAGATGACTTTAACTGGATAGAAAATAGATTACCTCTCCTGGAAGAAGCTTTTTTAAAGTCAAGTAAGTGAAATTAAAGGCCCATATACTACATTGGAAAAGAAAACTATCAAAATTCAGTTTACTGAGGAGTTCAGTGTAAAGAAGGAAGGGTCACAATATTTCTCGGTTGAGGGACTTTACTACTGAAGTTAGTACTTTTTGAAAACTTTACTGTGGTGAAAACACACAACATAGAATTACCCCTTTAACCATTTTAAGCACATAGCTCGGTAGTGTTCAGTATATGCACGTTATTGGGAAACGGACCTCAAGGATTTTCTACCTTGGAAATATGAAAGATGATTATACCCATTAAATAACAATAGCTGATTTCCCCTTCCCCTTCAATAGACATTAGTCTTTTAAACATCAGTTATTAAAGACTATGGTAGGTTTCCTAGCATTTTACAAGGAAACTGAAAACCACTGGACTAACCAGCTAAGCAGACCTGGCCCTGGATATGTCAGCCTGTGCGAGGTGAACTAGTTCAGTCTAAAACTGAGGGCCGTGATGCCATCCCAGATTGACTGAGAATTACTGCAAGGACTAAGATTTTCAAAGAGACTATAATATAAGGCAAACATAAGGAGTAGGGAAAATAAGAATTCAGACAAGGCTGTAAATAATAGAGAAAAATGAATATCATATGAAAGTGCTCTAAGTAACACATAAGTTCCTAAGACCCCTGATTTATCAACTAAAAGTGGAATAAGCTTTGCTGCTGAGAAAGAGTCACCTCCTCCTTACAAAACTACATGAACTTTCCTAGGCCAATCAGAACACCACTGTGAACAGCCGGGCCCACAGAAATGCCCTTGCTAAGGCGCGGTAAATTGGGCGTGAGATGTCAGGGAGACTCAGGGGGTCCAATGTCCAAGATGAAGCACATGTGGACTCCAGGGAATATAGGGCTTTATCACAGGGTCCTTGATGGACTCATGAAAAATTCTTAACTTCTAATGTCAAATTCACTTATCTGTGAATCTAAGATAATTGTCTATTTATAACTAATAAATCTGTCAATAAATCAGTTGTAAAAACAAAGAATTTAATTAGACAGAGATTACTGCAAATATTCTGATTTTCTTTAAGAAAAAAAGTCAATAGTATAGTACCGTGTTTGCCATTTGCAAGGCAGGATCCATCAAGCCCAGAATTTCTTCATTATAGCTTGATTCCAGGCTAATGATGTCATCAATTACATCATCCATCTGGAAGAGAGACAGAAATAAATGAAAACAGTGTAAAGCAACATTAGAAGAGACAGCCTTGCTTCTTTCTTACCTAAAGCAATAATACTCTTCAGTAAGACTTGAAAAACTACCTTTCTCTTCCTACTAAGATAAAAATATTACTGAAGCCCATTAACACTGATGGGTCATGAAAGCCCACTAATGGGTCATGAAAACGATACTTACAGCCAGCATTTGAGCGATTACCAGGACTCAGGGTTACTAGGACTAGGACTAGGATTCCTGGACTTAGGCATTTCCATGGGCTACATGTACTTGCCTTGACAAAAACCCTAACAAAGTAGGCACCATTATAGAAAGTGTATGGATGACAAGGAGAAGCACCTGCCTCAAGCCACACAGTGAAGCAGAGGGTGGAGCCATGATTTCACCCATGCCCTTGAGTGCCACTCTGAGCTGCCTCCTCTGACTAGGAAAGAACCAAGAAACTCTACCTTTTAAGAACCTCAGGATGTCAATCTATAAAATGGGGGTTAGTAACACTACTGCTTAGTGGATATTATTGAGATTTCAAAATAAACTACATAACATGCCCACTGTGTCGGGAATATAGTAATCTACATAAACTAAAAGTAAAGCATAGATTAAGTGATCCTTGAGAAGGGCAATTGGCAGCCAGTTTTGACTCACTGCTGGTACACTCAGGTTCCATAGGTAAGGACACAGTTTTTATTTGTTTTAATAAATAATTTTTGAATTCAGTTAATAAGCGGAAAAGTAGGCCAAGAATTTGTGAGCAACCTTTGTAAATTTTTAACTTTATTTTAGGAAAATATAATTAGGGGGTTTAATGTGATATTTTAAAAATATTTGTTCTCTTTTGATAAAATGAATGTAAATTGATGCTGGAAATATAGAACATAGGAAATATTCTACACAGTAAAATAGAAACTCAAAGGGAGAATATTCATTGTTTTTTTATTTTCTTGTATATTTGTATCTCTCTTTTGGTTTATTAGCTGTAGCATAATTTAGGCATTAAATAGAATGTTATAGACAACTTTTAATAACTTGGGAAATAGCCATTAAGTATTATTAAGTTAAGTTTCCAAATATATGTTCCATGAGATTCCATTTACAAAACAATTACAGATGTCACACACAGACACCTCTTCGTGTTACCAACACCCTATGAAAATTGCTATCCTACAAACCTGCGTAACATACACTGATGATGTTGTATAAATAAAATACAGCATTTCACATTTTATCAAAATGCATATATTTTAAGTACTTTTTAGTAACTCAAAGCAATTTAGAAGAAAAACCAATTTCTCTAGTAATCATTTCATTCTTAACTACTATGAAGAAAATGGCCCTGTTCATAGCGTTCTCTATTTTAAAAAAAATCAATGGGAGGAAAAAAAAAACCTAAAGTCATCAGGAAAGTGTGATAAGCCATAAATATAGATTCTCATTACAAAGTGTTACATCCTTGGGCTGCTGAGTCATCCAGTACCTGCATACACGACGCTCGTGAATGGGTGTTCATACTTGGGCACTCGCTCTCTGCCCTGTTTTGCTCTTCAAATTTATAAAATCCCTGCAAAAACACAAGCAAAGAAAGCTTATGGCATGGATTTGCAAATGATTTTTCAATGACACATTCACACAAGGCTGAAGGCATAGCAACAAGATGAATCAAGCTTTCAAACGAAGTACAATCTTAACAAGAGACAGAATAATGAAGGAAGGAACTGTGTCAAGTTATCTTGCTAGATAACAAATATGGACAGAGAAAAGAACGTTTGGTCTGGGCATGGGGAAAGTCTTAGTTCCTCTAGTGATTAGAATCAGTGGAACTTTAGAAGTCACCTCTGGATGCACAGAAACATTTCAGAGTCCTATAATACTATTAAAATGAAGCTGATCATCTCATAATTTGGAAATAATAGGCATTAAATCATAACTCTCCTCTCAGGTATTTTTATGCTCCACATTTTGATTTTGCAACAACTGAAGGTCTATTTGAGTCTTGTCTCCAATCCAGCCTTTACCAAAGCAGATTTAATGGGCAGCAGCACTTTTATTATGGAACTCAACATATCCGGCAATTAAACCTTTACTTCTCTGTAAAGTGCTATATTATTCAAATCCATCCACACACAATCCGTACTTTTTCTTTTTTCAATCCAGGGAGAAATAAAATAAGATTCCAGACATTCACAACAAGCGGAACTTCTAAACCGCCTGTCCCACACCTTTTCTATTTTTTGCTCTTCCTTTTTCACCTCCCCTCTCCTCTCTCTGCATTTTCACTGCTTCTTAAACGGCAAGGCATGGAAGGGAAGAGAAGACTCAATCATGAAGCAGAAGCAAGCTGAGGAAGCTTCTGCTCAGACCACGGCAAGCCTCCTGTCGTGTGTAATACACCCAATAACCCAGTGATGGTGACATGAGACTGGAATGTGGCAGCCACACCGGCAAACTGGGAACAGGGGCTGGTGACTGTGGACAGGAGGACAAATTAGAGTCCATAGATAAGAGCAGAAGAGTATCAACAGACAGTTACTGAGTGTAAGGAAACAGGAGAGGAGAGGAGACATCAATTACCTCTTTATCACAGTTGGAGTTAAGTGTGAGCATAGCCATGGGGCTGTTGGGTGCGCTGCTCCCCGGCACCGGTGGCATGACATGATCGCCAGGCTGGTTTGGACATGGCAAGCTCAGGACTTGGTTGGCATGTTTATTTGCTAAAGTGGTAGAAAGGTACTGCTTTACCTGCTGCCTTTGGGCTTGCTGTATGTGGTACTTGGTGGGGTTTTCAAGGTGGGTCTGCACCTGAACATAGCCACAGAGGGAAAGAAGACAGTGTGGTTATTTTTGTATACTGGATGGTTCTTTTCTCAGGTATAAAATTTGATATGAATTAGTCCACCAGCAGAATAAACTACTCAGGTACCAGGGATGGTGCTAACAGAGTCTGCTATTACTAAAAAGTTTCAAGTCTAGCATGGGATTTGGGATAATGCTTTGCTCTATTCTATTTCTCTGCAATTAGCTATACAACTCTTTTCAAACCTTGTGACCTTTTTCTCATATCTAATCATTAAAAGTTTATAGCGATCTGTCGGGCAAAAATGTCCCCAACACACCTGAAAGGGTTTAGTAGGATAGGAAAAACAATCTCCACGACACATAACTCAGTTTATCTCACTTTGCTTCACAAACAGAATGGTTTTATGTAAAAATGCATGCACACACGCACTAAAAAATTCATTACAAACTAACTGTAAAACGGTTGTAGAAAATAAACAGAAATATTTTCAGGGTTGAATCAACTAGCTGTGGATTAATTCCTTCCCCTTTCATTTGAACATGATTATTCAACATTTTAATTACTAAAGAACTCAACAGAAAAAGCAATTCCACATTAAGCAGTTTCCTTCAAACGTAAAACACTTATATGTATATGTTTTGAAAGCCAGGGCTGTTAATAAGCCACCAGGATATTTTTTCCTCTTCTCTTATAAACATTAATATAGTTAAATGTTTTTTCAAAGCCAATGACATTCAACTTAAAGTCATTTTTCCTTGATAAACATAATTTAATCTTATGAGCTATGAACAGGAGCTAGTGGAGACAGCACAGACACACGTTGGGAAATAAATTTCTAGTATTTCTTTTATTCAAAATTATATTGAATTATTTAAAGGACTAGATAATAATAAGCATTAAATGAGATTTACACTTATAGAAAATAGCCTGCTAATTATCATAACACTAAAAAGGTGAATTCAACCATTTATTGGATTAGATTTCAGAAACCAAATATGAATAAGAATAAAGCTCACCTGACAGTGATTATATTCTAGCATTTCCAGCATAATAACGTTTAAGGTGGCCCCAATGCAATGAGAAACGGTAGTCTATTTCTCCCTCTACTTTCTGTCTGCAAAATTCCAGTTTGCAGACTGGCTGGCATAGAGAAGGCACTATAAACAAGGTATCCCGAGACACCACCGGAAACTTTATCACAGCAGCCCTGCTTATAATAACCTAAGCTAATTAGTTATGCATGTAAAAATCTCATTCTCACAAGGGGCTTTTTTTTTTTTGGAAGCCCTACGACTTTGGTCTTAAATATTGGTATCAATTTTTCCCCCTGGCTTGACGTCATGCTTTTTTTTTCATAAATATAAAAGAACCTTTTTAAGGGATGAGCTATCACAGTCAAACTCACTGTCAGATCAAGGCCAATTCACTATTCATCTTTAGTTCCAGTAGTATTAATAGACAATGGTATTTTTCTTTCAGCAATAGGTTAAGAGCTGGATGCCCCCTTTGGAGGAAACATTCCCTAAAAGCTACGGTTACACATGAGACTTTTTTAATGACTAAATAACTGCCACTTCTGACTGCAAGAAGACCATCTTTTAGTTGGAAGACAGTCTATGATGCTAAACTTTAAAGTTCATCAGCCTCAACCTGGTCTTCATATGCACCTTGTTCTTAGGTAATTTGATACCGAACTTGCATCAGGAACAGAGGGTGCTACCCTAAACACAATATGAAGCATCACACACTCAGAAAGAGAAGAAGGGAGGGAGGAAGAGAAGGAAAGGATACATATGCAATATAGCAAACAGGAAATATCTTTGCAATTAACTTTCAAATTAGGAAGAATGGAAATTTTAAAATATAATTCTTGAGGTCGGAGAAAGAAATATTATACACAAATGATACAGATATATTTATGTATTATTCCATTATTTACTATTATATATTAAGCACTGTAAACCATAGGATATAAGTTGTGAATAAACAAAAAACAGATGATTTCCAACTTTCTAAAGTCAAAAGAAGAGGCAAACAAAGAAATACATTTTAAAATATGATAAAGGCTTAACAGTCACTGTTGAAATGGGGACACAGTGTCTTAAGAACGAAAAACTGAAATTCATTATTTTGTCTAAATGCTAAGGATAATAAAGTTCAGGATGACCATCTCAAATTGCTTCAAATGTATGATGCAACATGCAAAGAGGTTCACAGAGACACTGTAAGCTTTATAAAGGGTCCAGACATGATAATGATGAGGACAATAGACATTACTAAAATAAACATAAAATGAGGGCAAGGAGCATAATGTGCTCATTTCACTATTACACTTAGAAAGGAAAGGACTACACATTTAAAAATAAATGTTAATTCACTGTCAGATTCTTCTTTTTTAATGAATTAGAGTGCAATGCTTTTGTAAGGAGAGAAGTAACTTGCTTTTTACCTGGCACTGTTACTGAAGTCTTTACTACATCTGGATTTGAGTAAGCCAAGTAGAGTGCATTTTGCTTTTACTATCAGGGCCTTTCTAGTTTTCAAATGAATTAAAATGGTTTATAAACGCTATGCAGTCGGCAGAGCATCTCCCAATATTTCCTACGCAAACAGCTAGCATAAATGACGGACATGCCTGCAGGATAAAGTAACAGGGAGCAGTGAGGTCCGTGGAAAAGTTAAAGACATGCACCTCATCTAAAAGGAGCAACAGATATAACTGAAGCTCACATCAGCTCTGTGGGTTTTCCAGACCAGTAGATCAGTCCTGCTAGATTTCCAGTTTTTAAGGGTAGCTGGCAAAATGAGCTTCCTTTTTAAACTAAAAAAAAAAAATCCAATGATATTACTGTCCACATAGGCTAAAACCCATCAAACATAGCCAGTTGGAATCAGCTCACAGATTATAAGCTTGTAGTTCCTATTTTATATTGTTCAGGAGGACATTTTTTCTCATTGATATACCCTGGGTGAAGAGGAGATCTTTCACTTCTGAGAAGTTAGTGCCCAAACCCAGGTATGTTCTGGTGCTTCTCTGAGAGACCATGTACCTGATGACATAGGAGTTAAGGACTCAAAACCTAGGTTCCAGTTCTGGCTTTGTGATTATTACACTTGTGACTTTACACAAAAGTCACAAACTTCTCCATACCTACATGTCTTCCTGTGCTCACTGAGATTAATATACTTGCTTCATAGGTATATTTTTCTGCATTAAATAAGGGCGCATAAAATATCTAAACCAGTATCTGTCAAAAATGTTTGTCTTAGGATCTTTTTAAATTCTTCAAATTTATTCTATTAATGCAGGCTTTATGACTCAGCATTAATCTTACTAAGGTTAAAACTGAAAATGTTTGATCATGTGCTAGCATGTATCTCCTTAAACATTAGAATGATGACATCTAAACACATCATGAAGTCTTTAGAAAACTGTCCTGTGTACCTGTGAGATAAAACTGAAAAGCAAGACGTATTTGTATTATTCTGCAAACAGTTTTGACCTGGCAAAATCCCTGCAAGTGTCTTGAAGATGTACAGGCTATCCGATTACACTCAGAGACACATCCACCTAGCACATGGTTAGTCTTCTGACACCCTCTCTGCCCTGACCCTATCGTGTACCACTGGGAAGAGGTGGTTTGTTGCATAACCTTTGTGTGTACTGCTTCTCTCAACCAGGAGCTGGAGAAAGACTCATAACTGCCCACCTTCCCTCATAGCATTGTTATGAGGTTCTATAGCACTTCTATAATTTAAAGGTCACATCAATGTAATATATATGAAATAATCCACATCTGTGGTCTTTTCATAAATGACTTCATCGTAATTTTCAAATAGCCAATCAAGTAAAGTATGCAAATGAAAACATACATAGCATTAAAAAAGACAAGCCTTTTTATGATTTCCTAAAATTTGCTCATATTTTTTAACCTTTAAACAAACCATCCATGTTAAAGAATTCAGAGAGCAAAAGTAAACATAATAAAGGTAGGATACTTTATCCTTTATCACGATAGAGTGTTTACTGACATATTAGCTTAGTTAAAGTACAAAAATCCAAAGGGTTTGGGAATGCTCTTTTTTGTTACTGCTCCTTTTCCCCTCTCTCCTCTCTTCATTTAGATCTTGAGCTGATAGCAGATTCTGAATTAGAATGGAATCACCTCCTGGCTGTCACAATGTAGTACATCTTAGGTGACAGTGACAGGCTATTTCTCATCATTTCCTCCTAATGAGATCCTGGAACACTTGTCACGGGAGATGATGACTATAGATACCACCATCTTGGCTGACAACAGAATTCACTAGGGGAAAAATGTCTCCACTCAAATGTCCTGTTCTTCTCTTTCTACTCGCTTTTATCTAGAATTTGGATAAAACTGAGGAAAGATTCCTACAATCCTTTCAGTTTATAATTGATTTTTAAAAATAACTCAAAATGCTCAGATTTCTTATCTTACATTTAGGGAAAAAATTTAAAAACTATCACTCAACTGTTGTTCACTACCACCATTTTTATGTTGTTTTTTAAGGGTCAGTTACCAAAAAGGGCAGTATGCAATGATATGGGTCACAAGTCCTAAGAACCAAGGTTTTTTACCATCTCACAACTGTAATATTACCAAAAACACACAACAACAATAAAATTTTTAAAAAACCACTAGCCCAGAAAATATTTTCTAGGACATACGATCTTGTACACTCTTTACAAAGGTATCACTGATTCAAAAATAGAAGGATGACATAATGGTTAACTGGCTGTTTCAACTTGAGTAAGAAACGCCCAATTAAACTGAATCAGCCTAGTTCTGGGTGTGAAGACCCACCGTAAGGAGAACCCTCACCAGAATTGTATAAAAGGGAAATGAGGAAGGACCGTTCACAGTCTTCACTTTCACCTTGGCTGCCATCTACTGGCACACTCTTCAGCCTTCCACTGTAGATCCTTGGCCTCCTCATACAGACTCGCGTGGGACACTGAGCTCCAGGACTTTGACTG